AAACACACAGGTATACAATGTCAATTCTCCTTTACTATTAAAACTTGGTTTCTAGAATACTGGTGAGAACTGACAAGCAAGATGTTGGGTAACATGAAGAACATGAGACTGTCCTTTACCTCAACACTGCTAAAACTCGAGAGTATAAGAAGCAGGCCTTTTTCTCCATTCCTTGTTGGGGACATTTTCCTAGTGTGAACAGTTTGAACATGACTCCCCGAAACCCGTGGATTGACCCATATTCAGCCCCTCCATTCCTGAGCTTGGTTGACCTTCATTAGTCCTTTGATATAGGAACAATGATCTCTGGTCTGGTATCAGAAGGAACTTGTGCTTTCAAACCCCTACAATGGGCCTTGTTTGAGTAGCAATCATTAGGAAAGCCCACAGGGAGCAGTGCATATTTACTCAGGCCTTTGGCACCGATAAAGGAATTTTTGACAGTTGAGAGGCACTGGTACCTGAATGCTCTCACCTGGGGCCTGATAACTGCAGGGTGCCTGGCAGTCAGCTGACTGCCCACAGCTCCCCTAACCGCTGCCTGGAGTAGGGTGATGGAGTGGAGTGAGCACATAGAACTCCTCTTCTTCCCAGAGGCCGACCTTACTCAGCATCCCCCAAGAGATGGGGTTGTCTAATAAGAAAATTTCACTGGAATTTTATTCACAAAGATAAGTCCCACAGGACAACTTCTCTGACCAGGGACCCAGGATTAAAGACTTGTGCTTAAATCCTAGTTTGCTAGGGTTGCCATTACCAAATCCCAAAGATGGGTTGCTTCAACAAGAGGAACTTCTTGTCTTACAGTTCTGGAAGCCAGAGGTTCGCCATCAAGATGTTGGCTTGGTTTCTTCCGAGGCTTCTCTCTTTGGCTGGTGGATGGCCACCTTCTTGCTGTGTCCTCATATGGTCTTTTATCTGTGTGCCTGTAGCCCTAGTGTCTCTTGGTGTCCAAGTTTCCTTGGACACTGTTACGGTTTGGATATGAGATGTCACCCAAAACCTCCTGCTAATGCAGGAATATTCAGAGATGAAACGATTAGATTATGAAAGCTGTAAGCTGATCAGTCCATCCTGGTTTGAATGGACTGACTGGGTGATATCTGTAGGCAGGTGAGGATGGCTGGAGAAGGCAGGTCACGGGGGCACAACCTGGAAGGGTCCTTCCCACCTCTCTCACCTTCTGCTTCCTTACTGCCATGAGATGACAGCGTCCCTCTGCCGTACCCTCTGCCATGATGTTCTCCTTCACCGTGGGCCCAGAGGAATGGAGTTGGATGTCTATGAACTGAGACCTCTGATACTCTGAGCCAAAATAAACTTTTCTTCCTCTAAGTTGTTCTGGTTGGGTATTTTGGTCACAGTGATGCAAAACCTGACTAAAACACTCTAAGGACACTAGTAAGATTGGATCCAAGCCCACTCGAAAGCCTCATCTTAACTCAAACAGCACTTTAAAGGTCCTATCTCCAAATACAGCCACATTTTGAGGTACTGGGAGTTAGGATTCAAAATATGAATCTTGGGGGATACACTGTGGCCTGTAGCACCTGCCTTGGCCAAGTCATGTTCCCATTCCTGGTTCCCACCCATTTCCCAAAGAAGACAGCATGTCATAACCTTAAGGAAGGCCCGTGGTCAGTGAATGTCAAGGGCAGAGTAGGAGAGTGAGGAGATGGCCATGAGCTGTCCTTGGAAAGCAAGCTGTGTGGTCAGGCATCACCCAGCCAGACCCAGGTCAGGAATCACCCTCTTTGGAGTTCTCACTCCTTACCTCCAAAGGCTTCAATATAGATTCACAAGTAAACACTTTCAGGGGAACTCTGGCTTCTGTCAGTCGAAGAAAGAAAGAAAATATCTGTCTCCCTAAAATATCTGATGCTGCTAATTTTTGATTAATTATTTCTGGGCCTCAGGGCTAAAGAATGGAGGTAATGGTACTCATGGGCTTGTCTCGTCACCATGCTGACCGTGTGCTCCTCTCCCCAAAAGTCACTACACAAACATGTTGTTAGATGTCCTTTAGATGTATACGTGTAGATTCTTGTAAGACAGATGGTATTATAGCATGGGAGGGGGTTGTAGTTTTAATTTATAAACAGTATGCTCTAAGTAGCATTTGGTTTCTTGCCTTTTATTTTTCTAGTTCGAAGACATTGTCCTATTATGGTATGTGCATATAGTTCCCTGCTTCTCAGAGCTGTGAATGTTTGCCCACCACCGTTAACTTATCCAGGCATTGGGTGGTAGAAACCTTGGCTCCCACACAAAAGGTTAAAGCCAGCACCCGTGCAAGGCAGGCTCTGGGTAAGAATACCAGGAGGGATCTCTGTGCTCCAGGTGGACATATCCTCACTGCACCGAGCCCTTCTAGATTGCTCTCTGACCAAGCAGGTTGGTTTCACAGAGCCCTCGATAACCAGATCAGCTATTAGCAAGAGAATTCTATACTGGGGCAGAGGGTTTAATCCAGTTCTGCCACATGCTGACTGTGGGAACTTATATAAGTCACCTCACATGTCTGGGTCTCAGTGTCCTCTTCTACCAAATGAGTATGCCAGTCAAAGTCGGCTCAAAGTCAACTCCACCCCCAGTGGGAGAGCATCTGAGAGGCAGAGAAGATAATGAAGGAGAAACAGCTTTGGACCTCAAGTGCCAGCTTCAAATTAGTGGAGAAACCCATTGCCTTGCCTCCTTTTCTTTAGAAGTATATATGTAATGAGAACTCTTTGGTAAGTAAAGGAAATAATGTACATAAAGTATCCAGCACACTGAGAAGCAGATATCAGTTCTCTTCTTTCTCTTCCCGACCAATACCCCTTCCCTGTTTTGTTTTTTCAGTAGAGAAATTCAACTTTACCATTCATTCTCTTTTTTGTTTTTTTTTTGATTTTTTTTTTTTTTTTTTTTTTTTGGGGGGGGGGTCTTTTTCTTTTTCTTTACTTTTCTTTCTTTTTTTTGGCACTGGGGATTTAACTCAGGGACACTCAACCACTGAGCCACCTCCCCAACCCTCTTTTGTATTTTATTTAGAGACAGGGTCTCACTGAGTTGCTAAAGGCCTTGCTAAGTTGCTGAGGCAGACTTTGAACTTATGATCCTCCTGCCTCAGCCTTCTGAGCCACTGGGATTACAGGCATGCACCACCACACCCAGCTCATTTTTTTTTAATGAGGTATAAATGCCTACAGCAGTGTGTACTAATCTTTTATTCATAAACAACTCTATTGAGATAATCACATACCATAAAATTGGTACTTTTAAAATGTATAACTCGTGGTTTTACTATATTCACGGAGTCATGCAGTCATCACCATTGTTAAGGGTATTTTCATCCCCCAGAAAGAAATGCTCTACTCATGAGCAGCCACTTCCCGTGTCCTCCTCCCCCAGCCTTTGGTCCACTGTCCTAGATGTCTCATATAAATGGAGTCATTCACTATGTGGTCTTTTAAAGAGCCTCTTTCCCTTGGCATGTTTTCAAGGCTTATCCTTTTTATTGTTGAATAATATTCCACTCTATGGCCATAATCTGTATTTTGTTTCTCCCTCTATCAGTTGATGGACATTTGAGTTGTTAACCCTTGGGGCCTATGTTGAATAAAATGTCTATGAGCATTCATGAAGATTTCTGTACGGATGTTACCAATTCTCTTAGGTATACATACCTAGGAATAGAATTACTGGCCATATGGAAACTCTATGTTTACCTTTATAAAGAACTTCCAAATTCTTTAAAAAAAAAAAAAAAAAAAGGAGCTGGGTGCAGTGGCACATGCCTATAATCCCAGCAGCTAGGGATGCTGAGGCAGGAGGATCTCGAGTTCAAAGCCAGCCTCAGCAACAGCAAGGCACTAAGCAACTCAGTGAGACCCTGTCTCTAAATAAAATACAAAATAGGGCTGGGAATGTGGCTCAGTGGTTGAGTGCCCCTGAGTTCAATCCCTGGTACCAAAAATAAATAAATAAGTAAAATAAATTTTTTTTTTAAAAAAAAAAAGGGAAAAAAGGCCAGGAATAGTGGTACATGCTTGTAATCCCAGCAGTTCAGGAGGCTGAGGCAGGAGGATTCCAAGATTGAGACCAGCCTCAGCAATTCAGCGAGGCTCTAAGCAATTTAGCAAGATTCTGTCTCAAAAGAAGAAAGAAAAACTAGGGATGTGGCTCAGTGGTAGAATGCCCATGGTTTCAATGCCTGGTACCCAAAAAACAAAACACTTTACAACCCCACCAGCCCTATATGAGGCCTCCAGATTCTCTTCATCCTTGCCAACACTTGTTATAGTCTGTCTTCTTTGTGTTAGACGCCCTGGTGAGTATGAAGGTTTTGAAGGGCACAGAGCTTATGTTAACATCTTGATGGAATTTTGCTAATGTATATGCCCATGAAGTCACCCTACTAGTTGAGGCACAGAACATTTCTCTTGCCCCACCTCCCAGTGACTACCTTTCTACTCAAGGTAATGACTAGTCAGTGTCATCATAAATTAATTTTCCTGTTCTTGAACTTTACATAAATGGAATCATAGAGTGTATACTCTTTCACATGTGGCTTCTTTCCTTCAAAAAACATTGTGGTATGGTTGTTTGGTGGTTTGTTCTTCTTCATTCCTGTGTAGCATTCCATTGTATGAGCATACTACTATCTATTTATCCATTCCCTTATAAACATTTGTGTTGACTACAAACGTTCAGTATTATTATGAATAAAGCTGCAAAAAACAGTTTTTATTTCTGGAAGATGTATGAACTCAATTCTCTTAGGTATATACCTACAAGTGTGACTGGTGAGGTAACTGTAACTTTACTAGATGTTGCCAAACAATTTCCCACAGTGATTGTACCAATTTACACACCCACCAGGCCTGTGTAAACATTCCAAGCTACTCTTACACCCTTGGCACTTGACTATGTCAGTCTTTTTAAATTTCAAGTTTTCAGGTTAAGATTTATTGGGGCTTATGAAAGTATCTCAGGGTGGTTTTGTTTTGTTTTTGCAGAGCGAGGGCTTGAGTCCAGGAACTTGTGCCTGCTAGGTAAGTGCTCTATACCAAGCACACCCCCTGCCCTCCTGGTGGCTTCAGTTTTCGGGTGACTAATCATGTCACGCACCTTTGTTCATTGCTTTTAGTCTGAAACTTAGCTGCAGAGGTCCAATAGCCAGTGTTCATCTCCCCTGGAGATCTAAGGATGGGAGCACCCCCAGCCCCTGGCTTTCCATCCCACATCCTTGATCCCACTCTCCTAAAGGGAACACTAACATGACATCATTTGGTCTGAGTTCACTTATTCCTTTTGAAATCGTCAATATTTTACTTCTAACATCTAGAATTCTCCTTACCACACATTCTTAACCCAAGAGAGGGAGAAAGAGTATCCTTCAAGTAACTAAAAAACCAAAACAACCAAAAAGCTATCCACCTTCAAGGCCAAAAGTGGACTATTTTTAAATAAAAGAACTTTCCATTTAAAAGTTAAAGTTGGATGAGGTTATAATCTGGTATTTAATGGATGTTGAAGTTTCTCTCTTTTTTAAAATAGAAATGTTTATTCTTTATAATAGCTTAATGGAAGGAGTAGTTGAGAGTCCGTTATTTTTCAAAGAAAGTTTACTCTGTCCTCAAGTCAGGGAGAGGCAATGTGAGAGGTAACGATTCAGAAGACTCCTTGGGATGATCAGCTGGGGCAGGGCTCTGAGTGGGGGACACGGTGCTGTGGTCATTCATAGAGCGACAGTTGGCTCCAGATGACATACACTGAGTCCACTCCCCAAGACCAGGGTAATTCAAATGCCTAGTCCTTTGGTGGTAGAGGATTTCAGAAACTGGATGTGAGGCTAGATATGGATCCCCAAGCCCCACCAAGCCAGACCCCAGGGAACAGGACCTTCCCGCCCAAGTATAAACTCCAATGTCTCTGCCCAATAAATATCACTGATGTGTTTATGTCATGTTAAGCCACTCAGGCAAAGGAGTAAGCCCCACACTAAAGCAAACTGCACAAACTATCCCACAGACTTAATCAAATGCTAAAACCGTTCACATGGAAAATTTCTTCTTAATAGGGAAATGGAAAATTACCGATATAGAATCTGATAATCTTAGAGCTGGAAGGAACCCTGGAGGTCATCAGCTGGACCTTGTGCCTACTTGTGGAATTCACATTGCAACACTCCTGCCATCCTCCGCTCAGACGGGTCCCTTCTCGGTACCTCCAGGAAAGTTTTCCATCCATTGTTGGATGATATTTAGACAGTTCTTAGGTTGAACCAAATTCTCTTTCTGGAAACTTCCACTCTTCAAGAATAGTTTAAAGAGGTCTATTTCTTTTCCTCCATGACCAGTTCTTTGGGTATTAAGTTGATAAGCCTGATTCCCCTTTCCGTTTCTTTCCCCCAAACTAAACATTCACAGTTTCTCCAAATATAAAATAATCCAGTATAAAATTTAGACATGATGACCTCGAATCACTGTTATATAGCTTCCTAATGCTTTCTTCTCATGTCTTGAAAACCATATTGGGGACCAGGGCAGCACACCCAGCTCGGGGGGTGGCCGAAAGGCACAGAAAGTGCTTTGGTAACACCTTTGCAAGTTCTCCCAGTGGAGGAATTTTTGGGAGAGAGGGTTTACCCAAGGATTGAACCCAGGGCTCTATCATCAAGCCACATCCCCAGTCCTTTTTATTTTTATTTTTTTATTTTGAGGCAGGATTATGCTAAATTGCTTAGGCTGGCCTCAAACTTGCCATCCTCCTGCCTTACCTCCCTCAAGTCACTGAGATTATAGGCATGTACCACCATGCCTGGCTTATTAAAAAATTTTTTTAAAAAAGGTTTTAAGAAATTTGAGTACTTTTAGGAAATAGAAGTGGCACCGCTGACTCCAATCTGGGATGAACCCCAGGAGTTTTCCCAGGACAAATATAGTGTTTTGCTAGTTCAGTCACATAGATTAAGTATTTTCTAGCCACCCTTACAGACAGCAGAGTAATCCTTCAGGAAACTACTGGAGCATCCTCAGTCCCAGTTTTACACATCTGGGCAAAGTGGCCCAGCCCTGTGCAGGAGGAAAAGAGGCCATGGATACCTTACCTCAGGGCGAGAACTGGGCAGAAACAACCCAATACAGGCTTTCCCTGACATGCTGGTAAGTCAGCTGCTTTACCATCCCATCCTCTACAGCTCAGAGCCCAATGGGAAGTGGTATACTTGTGAGCATGTGCACAGGAACACACACACACACACACACACACACACACGAACACACACACCCTCAAGGTCTTGCTCATCAGTGCCCCCACTTGTATTCAGCCATCCATCAGGAGCAGGAAACAAAACCCAGGTCTCTACAAGTGGGGAATCCTGGCCTCTCCTTGGAGGTTGAATGATTTTATGGTGGTGGCAATTTTGAGCAGCCAGCAAAACAAGACAAAGGTCTTGTTTGGTTTATCAAGCCCGGTTCCACCCATTGTTCAGTCAGCCAAGCGGTGTTAATCAGTACCCGGATCTTTGAATAGAATTTTTACTAAATAAATCTGTGAAGATATTCTTATTGCATAATGACACAAGTATTATATCTGGTGGGAAAGCAGAATCACTACGATGTCAGGCAAAAAAATCTCTCCTTGCCTATGAAATAGATAGCAATGTCTGCCCCAGAGATATAAGCACTTTTTAATTCTTTGAGTGGAAAATCTGTAACAGCTGCTAAAATGATGCTAAACGGGTCTTTCTGGAAAAGAAGGCATTGTGAGTAAAAGCACCAAGAGAAACCCCTCTCCCCAGTCCTTTTTATAGCTCCATGCAAACACACAAGGGGAAAAATTGCACAATTTCAATGTTTTAATTTTTAAAAATCATGTATCGAAATTCAAGAAGGCAAGAGAGTTCTAATTACAACACTCAGGGGGAAGGTTATGAAATCCTAATAGTAGTTGATAAGTGCACAACCTACTCAGTGAAACACACAAATCTTTGACCCGGCTATGTTAGAAGATCACGGGCAGTGTGATAAAAAACCTCGGGACACACCTCCGAAAAGGCAGAAGGTCATTAGAGCCAGGTGTCTCCCCACTGACACTCTCTGAGAAGCCCGGCTCCAGCAGGGACTACAGATGACCAGTGTTGTTCAGAGAGGGGTTTGCCTTGATAGTCCAGGATTATGGTGCAGCCCACTCTGCAGGGCTCTCATCCTCCCGCCTGTTGTCAAAACAAGGCTGTGCGTTCTCAGGAATGTAAGATGTTCTGTTTAATATGGAAGATGATCCTCCCAAGACCTGGGCAGAAATGAAAAAGCAGATTTCCTCTGCAGTATTTATGATAAAAATGGCAATACAAAGTCCCAAAGGACTCCAAGAGAAGGGAGAGTCTGATAGGAACAGGTTCATAGGAAAGACTGGGAATTTGTGACTTCAGATGGTTGCATTGCTGTTTAGTTGCAGGTGCCTACAGGATTAAATAGACTCCGAGGATGATTCAATTGAAGCTTCCCTCACATTCTCATCTTTTAAGGGTCTTATAAAGATGGGTGGGAACTGCTTAGAAGGAAGGTGGGAAGAGAAAGCACTGGGATTTTTCTGATGTGTAGAATTACTACCCTTAGTGGGTGTGCACACCTCTAATCCCAGAGGCTTGGGAGGCTGAGACAGGAGGATCGTGAGGCACTAAGCAACATAGCAAGACTCTATCTCTAAATAAAATACAAAATAGGGCTGGGGATGTGGCTCAGTGGTTGAGTGCCTCTGAGGTCAATCTCCAGTAACCCCCCCTATACCCAAAAAAAAAAGAAAAAAAAGAATTACTACTCTCAACAGCAGGAATGAACTTTATGGAGGATTGGCATACAATGAAACCTGCTGCACCTAATTGGGCTTTTCTAAATCTCAGCCCCTAGACTCAGAAGTTGTGAGATCTTAATATCTCCAAATCTCCATTTCCTCATCTATAAAAGGTGGCTAAGAACCTACCTCAGAATTGTTACAAGAATTAGTTAAAGGAAGTTCAGATTTCATCCCAGCATATGGTACAAGGCATCCAGGAAACAGTAGTTATTATTATGTAGTTGTCTTTCCATTGCTGATTCTAAAAATTTTGTGCAGATGAATCAATATTATGGGGGCTGGGGTTGTGGCTCAGTGGTAGAGCACTTGCCTGGCACATGTGAGGCCCTGGGTTCAATTCTCAGCACCACATACAAATAAATAAATTAAATAAAGGTCCACTTATGACTAAAAAATATTTTAAAGAATCAATATTATGAAAATGAATATATAAGTAGGCAATGCCCAGTTTCCCAGTTTTGTGATAAAGTGCTGAACCCCATGTGACCCTTGCTCGTGCAGTTCTAAACAGGTTGGAATCCCATAAGATCCAACTGGTAAATGTCCACCGTGATATAATGGGAAGGGCCAGGAGGTCAAGTCGGGCACACCCACGTTCCAGTTCCACAATGACAACCACCTTGCTCCGTAACCACGGAAACCTCACTCAGAAAATAGCATAGGAAGTTTGTAAAGCATTTCCATGTTTTGATAATTTTGTGACGTCATGTTTTCTTTCTATAGTCAGTTATTTTTTAATAGCAAGACCTGCCATTTAAAAAATAAAAATAAGAGCCTGTCCCCAGCAGCCAGTCCTGTTGGATGCCATCCATCCAGAAGTCTCTATCAAGAGACCTGATGAAGTCGGGATGTGGCATGCCTGTTATCCCAGCGGCTGGGGAGGCTGAGGCGGGAGGATTATGGGTTTGAAGCCAGCCTCAGCAACTTAGTGAGGCTGTAAGCAACCCAGTGAGATTCTGTCTCAAAAATAAAAAGGGCTGGGGATGTGGCTCAGTGGTAGAGCACCCCCAGGTTCAATTCCTGGTACAAAACACAAAAAGAAAAAACTTGATGAAAGGCAACCAAAAAGATGGGAGGGGATATATAAGTCAGCCGCAGGGAGAAATTGTGCGATATGCTTAGCTTATTCCTGTACAGGAAGCCAAATGCTGAACAGGGACCTCCATGTAATTAAAGAGACAATAAACCAGCAGACACTCACCATTTCCTGAAATAGATGGGAAGGGGACACTTAGTGAGAAGAGTTACATAAAGACAAATCATGACACTGCTTCACACAAAATATAATAAACCTTAAAGCTCTTTGCCCTAAGAGGAACTTCAACTGGAAGTTGAGGTAAAATACAGGAGAGCACCCAGTTACATTTTCATTTCAAATAAATAAAATTTTAGTGTAAAAATCATATTGCCATGTTATACTACTATATTTGTATTTACTGTTAACGAAGATTACTTTTTTATTTATCTGACATTAAAATTTACGTGGGTGTCCCGTATTTCATCTAACTCCAGCAATCCTATTGGAGGGGGAAGCCAGACCGAAGGAAAAAGTTCCCAAGACTGAACAATAAAATGCACAGAAGTAATAGTAAAGTATGAAACATAACAAAAAGGTTTGTGTTTTGTGTATACATGTGGCTGTGCGTGAAACCCAGGGCCTCGCCACGTTTGGCAAGTGCTCTACCACTGAGCTACACCCCCAGCCCACGTTTGGGTCTTAAATCATAAACAATGAACTTACCAGTGTTTAAAAAGAGAATGTAAAAGGGTTCATCCTGAGCCTTTCTAAACTGTAGGATAATGCCTTTCACAGGGAGCAATTCCCTTTCTTTAACTCTCTGTCTCTGGGGTGTTTTTTGGTAACAAACCTCAGGCCCTGTGGGCCAAGGTCAAGGCTATCATGAGAGTTTCCATGCTCCGAATCATCTGCCTGTCCACCTTCTACTCTCCCAGAGGCCATCCCCAACCAGGAAGAGCCTGTGTAGCCACTACTGAGCCCCAGGATCCACATAGACAAGAACAGTAGCAGGAGGCAGGGAAAGCTGAATGAACACCTCAATCAACCCCTTCCCTCAATAGCCTGCCCCCAGCATTCCTTACCTTCTCCATTTGCCTTATGAATCTCCTTAGTTTCTCTCCACCTGACACCTGGACCCAGAGACTTAATGCATGTCAGGTCGTCAGGACAGAGATGGAAACTTTTCCAGGGAAAACAACCATGTCCCCTTGTCTCTAAATGCTTCTTACCTCCCTGTACATATTCCGGTGACTTTTGTCACTTTGGGAGCAAGGTTTTCCCCATGGGGGTTCCATGTCAGAAATCATTTTTTTTTAACGTGTGATCCTCTACAGATGGGTGAGGAGGGACATGTCCAGCACACACACTGACTTTGGCCTGTATAAGTTTAGGCATCTGATAGTGTTTGGTCCTGTCCAGGAAGTAGCTAGACCGTGAAATCAGTTATGGGGAGGAAGTCAGTTTACAGAGGGCCCCTCACAATAGAGTCTTCAGGGAGTCGGGGAGACGGGAATGCCACTAAGCTGAGGGGCTGTGCATATAGGGACAGCCAGAGGGATCCTGGGCCGACACGCATCCCTCTGCCTTCAGGAATTGAAAGTACCCCACTCAGGTATTACCACAAGTCCAACCAGAACTACAGAATTACTCCATCCGCTTTAAGGAGAAAGATGCCCAGGGAATGTGTGTGATTCTCTAGTTCTTAAGGTTTAGCCTTCCAGTAGTACGTGCATCTATTTAATGGACTAAAACACATCAGTTAGCACACTGATGTCAGAAAACTTCCATGACCATTGTGACAGTGGGCACGAGATGGGGAGATTATAATACCACCACCACCACCCCCACCCTTACTCACAACTAACAAGGGCTTCTTAAGTCTTTTTTTTTTCCTCTCCCCTTGATGCTTTGTTCGTGGTAGGTACTTAGCAAATATTAGTTGAATGTCTGAATGAAGAGACGAATGAGTAAACTGGAGACTCGAAAATCTTGACTCTATGAGAATTGTACCTGAAACCAGGAAACGAGGCAGTGTGGGAAAAGTCCCAAAGCGGACTTAGTTTCATTCACCACACTCTCGTCTTGTGATCGGGACAAGCCATTTAAACTCCATGACCTTCAGCTTCTGTGGCTGTCAATGGGAATAATCTCTGCCTTAATAAGTGGTTTGGAGAAGCAAGGGAGATTTCATATCTGAAAGTGCCTTTGTGACTGACAATAGACCATTGTATAGATGTAAGATAATCAGATGGGATTCCAAACCCAGGGCTCTCCATCTTGGGCTCTGTGATCTCGCTCAAGTTAACCTACCCAAGCCTCAGTTTTCTCATCTACAAAATGGTAGAAATCATCCCACCAACTTCACTGAATTGCCATAGAAGTTAAATGAGGCCATATGCACACCAGAGAGAGTGCAGGTAAGTCTGCTTCTCTGGTGAGTTTCTCTTCTCTGGGACGCCATTCTCTGTATTTTCTAAATGGGTTGCTCTTCTTTGTTGCCTGGACTTGTTTCTCTGCCAACTCACCAGTGGGTAAGTAAATTAATTAGGTGATAAGTGATTCTTTGATCTTCCTAATATTATTATTATTTGATGATGACTGTTAAAGCAGGTGGCCCTCAGATTGGCCATAGGTCACGCAGGCAGCAGCTGCAGTGGTAACTCGGGATTGTTTCCTTATCAGGGACCTGCCACCCAGGTGTTTCCTCATCTTCGGATCCGCCCTCTAGGTTTCCTCAAATTGTGTCTTTCAGATAGTACGTACCCTTCAGAGCCAAGCTTTGAAGGGACTGACCCTGGAGAGCGTGAGGAAGTCCTTCACAGTGATGGCCTAGCCACCCTCTCAGGAAAATGCAGTGACCTCTCCCCTCCTCCCTCTCCACGCCCAGATCCTCAAGCAACAGCAAAACCAAGGGAGCCAGCCCTGCCACTAGAACCCAGTTCCTGTCACCTCCAAAAACAGCCCGGTTGTACCAGGCAGTTTGGTTTTTGTTTTGTTTGGGGGGTTTTGTTGTTGTTGTTTTTAAATCATTTTAAGATTCTTGAACAGTATGGACTATTTATTTCTCTTCCTAAGCTGCCATATCAATTTATAGGCTGCTTCTTTTGTCCCGTTTTGCACAGGACACACTCTTATGGGCATCATAGAAGATGCTCCTGCCAGTGCTCGGTTAGAAGCCCTCACAAGACAAAGTCTCAGAGAGGGTCACACCAAGGGTGCCATGACCTCTGTGCTCGTGACGATATGCTGGGACCTCTCATCCCCAAGTCCTGGGACAAAGTCTCCTGTCCTTATCGCTTGTTTTCACTGAAGCTAAACCCATCTGCTTGCTCTGTGGACAGATTTTAAACTCCTCTCACAAATCAGTGCTTGGGATGAAGCCAGCCCAGGTTCTGCACTTTGTCCGGGTCTCAGCGCCTCTCCCGCTCCATATTAAAAATAGCTGTGTCTAGTCCAGCAAGATCCAGGAGGCAGGCGCCTGCTCTCCTAATCTCCAGTTCACAAATAGCTCTCGATGGGCTCGAGCCTCCATCAACACCTCCAGGGGCTCCAGTTATAACCCAGGGCCCTGCCTAGTTACCTCTAAAGGTAGGCTCTGCTCAGCTCTCCTGGGCCTGCCCCTGAGGTCAGCGTGAGGCCCGCACGCGCCCATTCCTACCAGGAGCCACTGATGTCCTACAGAACAGAGAAGCCGTTTAGAGCACCCCCAACGCTTAGGGCATCCTGTATTTCCCAGGCCAGAACCTACAGAAACTCCCCTTGACACTCAAACTCAACCAGCCATGGTAACAGGCTGCCCCTCCCCCTTCCCCTCCCTCCTCCAGCTCCCCTACCCTGCCCCCATTTCCACCTCCCTTCCTCCCCAGGCCCATCTTGTACTCCTTGAAAAAACCATAGGACTTTGGTTGCTACGGGAACCAAGCCTTTTATTCCATTCCAGTGACTGGCTGGTTGGGGCTGAGGAGTGGGGCAACAACTGGTGCCCAGGCCTTTGGAAGTCCCCACCACCCCACCTTTTTTCCAAAGGAGGAGGGGTAGGCTGCACCCCATTGCCTTTTCACCCAAGCCCAGCTGGGTGGGACCGAGCCCTTGGGCTCTCAGGAGTTCCCTGGCTGTGGCTCAGGGAGATCAGTGCTCCCCAAGCCCTCCTCTGGCCCTGGCCCTTTCCAGAGGACAATAGCCTCCACGCAAGGGAAAATTCCATCGCCCAGGGTTCAAGTCTCCAAGGAGTTGCTGGGGCCTCTGTTTAGCCTGGAGTGGGCTCTGAGGAGCCGCTGCAGCTGCCTGTCACCACCCCCTCACTGAGTTTTCTGTTTAACCCCTCAGCTGCCAAGGATTGTCTTTCCCCAACCAGTGCCTGGGAACTAAGAGAGGAAAAGAAATAAGGCTTTGTTCCTTTTGGGGAACTAATTGGGAGAGACAGGCAGTGTGGCCAGCTCAGCACCTTAGGGAGTGAGGCTCCTGCCCCCCAGCTGCACACACATCTTCACCCTGACCCATGCCCAGAAGGCTGGGAGTGAGGTGGGTGCTTCCCAGGCTGCAACTGCACCGGGGGTTTGGAGGAAAAGCAAGGGCTGCTTCGTAAGTGCCAGAGCAGCTGAGAGCCATTTTCTCAGGCTCAGAAGATGTTCAGAAAATAAGATGTTGGGAGTTGCAACTTTTTCCTATTCCAATCCCCCAAACCAAGGCCTGCTTTTCTTTTCTACTATTTCTTCCCAGATCTGCATAAGAAACTCTGGAACAAAAGTAAGCAACAGGAAAATTAAGACATGATAAATACTAGGTTTATAAATGAAAAATAACTAGCAATCCCTCTTAACAAATTATCAAAAAAAAATTGTTGCTGTAGTTTTAAGAATTTTCTTCATTACAAATCACCTAGAAGTGAATAAAAAGTTTGGTGCATGGTGATTTAAGACTGAATGAATTCCAGGTACAGATCCATAAAGAAATGAAGGATTATTTTGATCCCAACTAGAAAAAGAGCAGATTGCTAAGAAATCCTCCATCACCCGTGCCCAGTGCCCACCCAGGGCACTCAGGTAATGACTGTTCCCTACTCACCAGGGGATTTGGGAAAAGAAAATGTTCTCGTGCAGCAGACAATGGCACAATGGCCATCTCTGTACTGGGACACATCTGCTTCACTCCTGGAAAGAGGCTCTCTGACCCAGGTAGGCAGAGAGGTAGGGAAGAGGACAGCTATGGGCTGACACAGAGCCCACAGGTTCATATTGGTGCTGGAAGAATGCAGATTGGTGTGGAACACAACTCAGCTTTATTAAAACTCAGTGCTGTTCAGTTCCCTATGTGTGCTGCTGTAGCTCGAGTTCACCCCCTAGTAAATCCTGCGGACACAGGGCCCACACTGCAACGGTCCACCCTTCCTCTGATGTGGCAAGTCTACATTTTTAGGAAGCTGTTGGGCAGAAGGAGGCAACTCGAAGGTCAAAAGTATCTACATGCCTTTTAGAGTTGAGGTTTAGCTCCCACCCTTGGAATGTCCCAGGAAAGACATTGAGAACTAGAGCAGCTGATAAAGGTGGAGTTGGGCTGGCACCCAGCACCTTTGAACCTGGCCAGGGCTCCCATTCCCATTATCCGACATTCTGCTCTGCCTTAGGTCCAAGCATATGGAGCCCCCAGCCTGCTCCTCAATCCATACCTTCAGTACAGCAGCCAAGCCAGAAGGGACACGGGAAAGGTCTTTAAGGAGTAGACACTACGCACAGCCTGAAACAGGCCATCTCAGGGTGGGTTCCCTGCCACACATCCTATCTGAAGAGACACCCCTACAGCCCATCAGTGTTGAGTCTGCATTGGGCCATCCATATTATTTCTTTTAGCTCTAAAGGCAAACTTCTGGCTTCAGGGAGACCGGCCAGGATTAAGGTGGAGCCTCAATGTAGCCCTATTCACAGCCCCAGCAAAGCCTTTAGTTGGTGCCAGATTCTTGTCGAGTTGAATAGAATGGAGGAAAGCTAACGAACCCACCAGAATAGCAATAGCTAACACTGGCAGAGCCGGCACCCACCGAGACTCTTCTGAACGCTTTATGTGTATTCATTTATTTTCCTTCATGATAACCCTAAAGATAAGTACAAGTATTTTCTTTTTTTTATTTTATAGATGAGGAAACAGAAATAAAGTTACAAACCAGGCCACCAAAAGGGCAGCAACTACTTCCCCCAAAGGGACCCCCATCAGGAATCCTACATTAATTTGCCCAGGATCCTGTCCTAACAAACTCGTGTCCACACTACATCACCCGGTTTATGTGCTCCAGGAAGAAAGATGCAGGGGCCTCCCAGATGCTTAGCATGCTGGGCATGTGGGTTAATTGGGCTAATGTGGCTTGGGAGTCAGGAGACCCATTCTGGCTCAGCCTGGAGCTCCTGGGCTCCACTGTCCTCCCTGGTCAGTCACACAGTGGCTAAGATCTCTTAGGGCCCTACCTGTTCTCAGATTCATGACAGACAGCACATGTTGGTGTCAGGACAGGCCCGAGATGGAGCAAACCTGAGAAATAACTGCGCACATGAGCCTTAGTGTGCACGTTCCACTGTTTTGGGAAATATGTGCTGTTTTGATACGTGTCTGCTTGGGTCATGAATAAGTCGGAGGGGGGGGGGGGGCAAGAACCTTTTCCAGCTAATGAAATGAGGCTTCTTGGAGGAAGAAGACTTTCTTAGTCACACTTCCTGTTTCACACTGACCTTTTAAAAGGAAACCCACAGTCAACCTGTGCTAAGACCTGCCTACAAAATCTACCCACAGGTATAATAAGGACGATCTAAATAAAGACCACAGTGGGCCCTGCTTCACTGAATCAGTGGAAATATTAAGATCACGCAGAAGGGCTGATGGACTGAGATAAGGGGCGTGGGGTGTTCCGTACACTGTGCATAACATAGACACGAGCGACTTCAGCGGTTATTAAACAGAAACCTAAGCAGAGAGGCAGAGAGAAAGCAGGCGGCAATCTTGTCATTCGTCTCTATGTACTTAGGGCTTAGCCTCCAGCCATCAAAAGGAGGCCCTAAAAATTAAAGGAGATGCTTGGAGAGATTTCAGAAGAAGTCATGATGACTAGGTTGTAAAATTAATTATGGGAATTTTTATTTAGCCTGCAGAAAAGAAGACCAAGAGATAACTCAAGAACATTCAAGGTGTGGGATGCTCAGAAACTCAGAATTGTCTGGAGATGAGGGAAGGGTGCTGCTGTGAGGACTCCTAAAGAACGAAGTAGGGCACAAGGACAGGGGCAACCTCACCTTTGCCAAGAGAGCGGGACCAATAGGTGTCAGAGCCTAGATGGTGACTACCCAAATGGAGCAACTATCATCACTGTGCCCTGTCTCCAATTGTGAGCCACAATTTCCCTATAATCCTCCTGTTACCTTTCTCATTGCTGTTCCCCCTATAAATGGTCACCAAAGAGAGTCGATAGGAATGAGTCATACAGCCCTCTATGAGAGGGATTCTAACTTCTCCAGGAAGTTAAACAAGGGTCCAAGTTGAACCTTGATCCTTCCATTTTCCATCTTCATATTAATGGAGGAAGATTCCTGGGTCAGGAATTTGGACAGAGTACTGCCATTTCTAAGGCTTCATTTGGGAAAAACATGTGGGGCCTGGGGCAGGGGGGGGGGGGGGGTGCAGTGAACTAAATGGGGATTGGACTTATCTAGAGGCTTCTACATTCTCACATTTGGTACCTGCATTGGAATGAGTCAAATGGGCTCTTCCAGGACTGCCACGCACAGAACTACCTGTGTCACCTCCATGCTACTTGGGCTTCTCCTAGTCTGGCAGCTGGGTTCCCAGAGTGACTATTGCAGGAGACCCAGGCAGAAGCTATAGGCCTTTTTATGATCAAGCCTCCAAAGTCACAGAACATCACTTTCTTCATACTCTACTGATCAAAGTAGTCACAAGACTGACCCATTCAAGGGGAGGTCCTACTTTTTTATGGAAGGAGAGTCTAAGA